GAAGAAGACAGAGGCTAGCTTGCAGGAGTCAGTTCTTTCTTGTCACCATGGGGGTTAAGGGAACACCAGTAGCCAGTTAGGATCGGTAGCAAGTGGCTTCACCACTGAGCCACTGAGACATGGACCATACATGGTGTTTTAATTACTAGCTTTTATAGTATGTTGAAAGCAAGTCTTATATAATTACTGTCACTTCTCTTTCAGAAGCCAGAAATTCCTTTTCTTGCTGTATATAGTCAAATAGGAGCCTGCCTCCTTCCTCAAGTTGGCTTTTAAACTTATGGAAGATGTTACAGTCTGTATTATTACAAGAACTTCAAGATGTAAGGGAAGATACTTCTTGTTCCTTGGTCTATTAAATTATATTCAGTTTAGATAAAATACAGATCAATGCTTTGCCCCATAGCTACCACAATTTTGTTTTACTTATATTTCTTTGGTTTACTGTCAAAATCTAAAATTCCTATAAATACCAGCTAAAATCCCAGGAGTTAGACAAGAAGTGCTTTGTTGGTGTTTTCTCATTGGTTCATTTGTTTTATAGTAGGTCATCAATGATAAGGATAGAAATCCCAGTCTGAGACAGCTGCACACACACACACACACACACACACACACACACATACACACACACACACAGAAACACACACAGAGAGAGAGAAACAAGAACACACACACAGACACACACAAAGAAACATGAACACACACACAGAGACATCCAGAGCGAGACAAACATACACATATACTCGCATACACACAAATACTTTGCACAGACAATGACACTGGAGTCTGCCAACACTCTCATTCCCCATGGAAGCTTAATTCTTTCCTTCATGGAGCCTCTAAAAGGCAGCTGCGTCATTTTTTAGCATATTAATGTAAGAGAGAATACACCAGGGTGTCAATGCATCGAAGTATCTTTCCTCTACATCAAAGCAGAGGCAATTTTTCTTTCCTTCTTCCTTTCTTCTTCCTTTCTTCTTTCTTTCTTTCTTTCTTTCTTTCTTTCTTTCTTTCTTTCTTTC